CGTTTTTTACGGAATATAATTACATGGATTATGACCATAATTTGGTGGTGGAACATTAACCCATTGTCGTTGGGTTTCAGTTACTTTTCTTTCAAACATCACCGGACTAGCACGAGGAGAAGGAACGGGAACACCAACCGGGACATAAACTGGTGGTGGTGGTGGAGAAGGAACAGGGACTGGAACAGCAACCGGGTAAGGACGATCGACTAGAACAGGTTGCGATACAGGAACCGGGACTGGACGATCAACTGGTACAGGTTTTGGAACTGAAACTGGGTAAGGTTGTGGTACCGGACGATCAACTTGAACGGGAACCGGTACCTGTTGGCGAATGATTTGTGGCCGAGGGGCTGGTACTAAATCAACCACACGACGTTCAGCTATATAATAATCAGGAGAATATCCAATGTTAGCACCAGTTCCGTAAGGATTTACTGCTCTAAATTGGCCACCGTAGTTTCCTCCATAAGCTCCTTGATTTCCATAATTTCCACCACCGTAACCATAAGCCTGCACCTGTTGCTGTTGCTGACTATAATTATTATAGTTTCCAAAGGCGCCAACAGGGGTTGCTGATAATTCTAGTCCACTACCACTGCGTTTCAAATTATCGGAACTATCACTTTGTGAAAGACGACGTTCAATCTTTTCACCAATTCTTGATACTTGATCAAATGTTTTATTAATTAGATTGTTCATTTGAACTTGCTTGGTTCTTGTTCTTATTATTCTGTTTATGTTTTGATTCCTATAGTTAAACTGCTATTACCTTTGACTTTTATACCTTGTTATAGATGCATGTTAGCTAGAGAATGAATAATTACGATAGATTATTCTTTGGTGTGGGTAGAATGAGAAATAGACACAGGTAGCTTTCGCCCAATATGGATCAAGGATAATGATTGATTCACTTGTCACATTTACTCACATTGCGCTTGTATAAACTATAGGACGTTAGTAAGTTTCTTGATCGATTTATTTAGCTTTATGTGTAAATAAATTACTTATGAGTTAGTTTAGTGAACGGTTGTTTCTGCATAATACGAGTGCGTTGTCTTGGTTTTTGCCAAGGTGTTCACCTATGATGACAGAAACAGCTTTCACTTTCGAATAAGAAATATCTAAATATAAGGCGAGTACAGTCTATCTATGGCACATATAACAATTGAGAAAGTTTTTGTTCTAGCCACTGAGAAGAAATTTTGTTCGACAAGTCTACATCATTTGGATCCAATGTCACTAAAAATCAATTTTTTCGCTCATTTTTCGCTACTAATAAAAACTAATGCAATATATGTAACCTACGAATAAAACTGCATTCACTACGTATTTTAGAAGTGTTCACTACCTTACATATAATACCTATGGTAAACCGCCAAGTTTACTTTAAATTGGAACAATTTTATATTTGAGTTTAAATGCACTGAGTAAAAACAGGCATGAGTCCTGTTTTGCAGAGTTTTTTCTCCGCTACAAAGCCTTATATTTAGATATTTCTTATTCGAAAGTGAAAACTGTTTCTGTCATCATAGGTGAACACCTTGGCAAAAACCAAGACAACGCACTCGTGTTATGCAGAAACAACCGTTCACTAAACTAACCCATAAGTAATTTACTTACACATAAAGCTAAATAAATCGATCAAGAAACTTACTAACGTCCTATAGTTTATACAAGCGCTTTTTAAGAGTAAAACTGGAATGGTGGTACCCATGTCAAAAGTTCGAAACTTTTTCTTGCAGAAAATTGGAAAACTTCAGGTCCGTTGTTTTGCAAAAACCTGTGGTAAAATTTCCGTGTCTCACGTAACATCACACCCATGAATTTTCTTCTGCGTTTTTTTGCAAGAACAAAAACTTTTGCGATAAAAAAAGCTCGGAAAGCTCGAATCACCATGACCATGTGTTAAATTGGTGGCGACATTATATAAGCGCAGTAGAATTTTTCGATCATCAACACGTGATAATAGAATCATTAATGAAATATATGTAGATATTAATTGTAAATAGGCTTTTGTTAACTCATAATTCAGAGCCTAAATAGATGATCAAAAGAAAAATATACATAGAGTTTGAAACATGGTCATGATGACTCCATTTATCACTTTCGATATCAAAGTGAACTTGATGAGCGTCAGTTGTTGTTGACAAATCTGTCAAATGATCCTAAGATATAATACACAAAATTTCAGTTATTATTTCTAGAGTAGTCAAACTTGTAACATTTTAACCCTACACGAAATTATAGGAAATCGACAAATGTAAAGTAATAAATTTCCAATGATGTAATTATTTCCGTTTTAATTGATGCTAACGTTTGAAATTGACTCTAAAATAAGAAAATATGAATTAATTTAATTAACAAACGAAAGTAATAAGTTTACTTTATCGGGTGTCGGAAATCTTTTTTTTTCAAACTTACTACGAGCATTGAAAATATTTTTTTTCGCCACCAGTGACATTAACAAACAGAAGAATCTGAATTTTAATGATTATTTAGTGGAAATAGATAAAACATTTTTGACGAAATGAACTTATACACTCTGCTTTCAAACTTCTGAAAAAATACCATTTAAAAATATTTGATGAAGTTGTTAATAATTATAAACCAAACATTATAGAACGATCGTCGTAACAGTCGTTTTATGTTTTGCTAGTCATTATGTTTATACTTCATGAAAAACTTTCGATTGATCCAGATTAAGAACATTTTTTCATTTTTAAAAGGTGTTGACAAATGAATGTACGAACAACCGCTAAAATTGAATATTCCTGCTCAAATTTCCGTTTTTTAAACGCAAAATTTGACTATTGTTAAGTTTTTTTAGCTTGGATACGTTTACATTTCCGTAGGAAAAAGCTTCATCATTAGTGTATGCTCAGAAAAGAACAAAGAAGGGCGAGTACTCGTACTCGACGATTCAGAACTTGGCACTCGTAAAATGCTTGTTGGAGTACTTTTACATTTTGATTTTTACCTCAGATAGTGTATATATTTTGTAGACTAATAGTCGAAAATATTATCTGTTCTGCTCTGTTCGCATCATTACTCGTTCAGTGATACTGAACATCTCGGAAAATAGAAGAATGGAGATGTGAACTTTTAAATATTCGACCATTATACGGAGAAAAAAATCAAAATAAAAAATGTTGAGTGCTTGCACTCAAAAAACCCAGTATTTCTCCATCTCTGATAAAGAACAATATAATACAACCACATGGGATGAAAGTAAGTAAAATAGAAGTGAAAATAAAATATAGCACTGGTTCCTTTCACATATTAGGCAGTATTCTAGATCAAACGAAAATTAATGTAAGATTGTTTCATTTCATATAAACTACGTTTGATGCAATAGGTTTTCGATAGAGATATTCTTTAAAATGCTAAGAACCCCGAACGTCGCTTTCGCCTATAGTGCTTCCTCAAACGTTTAAAATGCTTGTATCTACCACCCATTGCGGCACTTTTCAAAGAAATGTGCGTGTTGTTTACTGTCGTGGTATATTTATAAAGATTTGGAATTTGCAAGGCATTTCGGGACATTTTTTAAAAACTCATTTATATTTATTTTTAGAAGAAGTCTATTTACATAAAGTTTTTAGAAATACATTTAAATATCTTTTATGTTCTAAAATCTATTCAAATCTCTTTAATACTAAATACGTTTAGACAAATTTCAGAATAAAAATCTTCTAGATGGATTTACTTTAAAAATGCATTTAAAGAAATTAGAAATACGAAAGACATTTTAATGCATTTTGCACTTCTAAACTAATTGATTGTATTGATTTTAAAATTTCTTCAAATACGTGCTGAAAATAATATTTCCTAGAAGCTGACTTTCAAAATGCCCGAGAAGTACAGGCGCAACAGGCATCAACGATGAATGCGCAAAACGCTGTACTCTACGAACTACACGAGTTGTTGCATGTTTTTGAAAAGGTATATAAGATCACTCCCACACCGTACTGAGCACACACATACAACTGACGAACACTACTGACATAGTCGAAATATATTTTGTCAAAATTTAAAAATTAAAAACTTTTGTTATTCTTGATTTTTGTTTTATCAACAACGTGTTTCAAATAAAACTGTAAGTAAAACAAGTTTTCTTAAAAGAAGGGGAATAATTCAAGACAAGAGCACACACGCATCTACCCTTACCTAAAATTAAGCCCGAGCGCTAAATTGTGAAAGGTCGGAGTACACTCTCTGCCAGAATAAGTATTCCTTAATCGAAAACAAGTACATACAGTGATGAAACATGATAAGCAGAAAGGCAAGATCACTAGCGAACCCAAGAGAGAAGAGAGGATCACTTAGTGAAGAAGCCATCCGTATTCCGTGAAGTCTAAACCGAATTAAAGAAGGACAGACAGAAGAAGGACAAACAGAACACAAAAAACATACCAAAAAAAATTACTTCTGATAACATCGAGTCGATTGTACAACTTCAATCGTTGTACAGATTATAGATACAGAACGGTGAATTTAGTTTTGTAGTTTACTACAAAGCTAAGTTCACATGTTCGAATCTCTATTCGTACAAAAATTGATTTTGTGTTTTTCGATAGTTTT